TTGACAGGTGTACCGCCCCAGTCAAACTCCCCACCTGACGCTGTCCCCGGAGCGGGTCGCGCCCGGCCCGCGCCGGGCGCTTGGAGCCAGAAGCGAGAGCCCCTCGGGGCTCGCCCCCCCGCCTCACCGGGTAAGTGAAAAAACGATCAGAGTAGTGGTATTTCACCGGCGGCCCGGGCGGGCCTCCCACTTATTCTACGCCTCTCATGTCTCTTCACAGGGCCAGACTAGAGTCAAGCTCAACAGGGTCTTCTTTCCCCGCTGATTCCGCCAAGCCCGTTCCCTTGGCTGTGGTTTCGCTAGGTAGTAGGTAGGGACAGTGGGAATCTCGTTCATCCATTCATGCGCGTCACTAATTAGATGATGAGGCATTTGGCTATGTTAACATTTATTATTGGAGTAAACAATCAACAAGGTCACCGAACACACCAATATCTTGGAGGCCATTAACCCAGACATGATCATCCTCCAAGGCGAGAACTCGCTATACAGACACTGTTCTTACAGGACATTTCTTTACAGGCACTCTCCCCCCCACCATTCCGATCTTTCTAAATAAGCCCACAGAAGCCAGACCGGTCCCACGTGTATAAAGATCATAGCATTTCAAAGATCCTTGGATAGTTAGCAGACATAAGTCCATAATATCACGGTAGGACAGGCCCAAGGCGCGGAGTCCGCACCCTGAAGGTTCAAAACAGAGACCACAAATAGAAAAAACCACTGGAAGACATTTCAGAGAAGCTGGTGATGCGTGCCATCTTAAGATGTCACGGGCACAAACGGCTGACCCGTACTTCATAACCTTCAGGTCCCATGTCATAGGGAGCCTGGGAGCGGCAACTATAGAAACATCCAATATCCAGAGATGATCTAACTTGGGCACAATTGGGTCAGGTTTAATAAAGGAAGGACCAGAGCAGATAATGGGCTCTACCCATGTTTCGGGCCCCCCCTTGCGGATGAACTGATCTAGACGTTGCAGAACCCTATTATGCCTAGCACATCTGGCATCATGAGTGATTTCACAGGCCTGAAGAATATGATTGTTTCAGAGGCCTGATATGGGCCTCTGCACAATCTATCGGTCACCACCTGACTTATACCCTGGGCACTTCTGGCTCACGTAGGCAAAACACCACCCCGTAGTTGAATCCCCCATAAAAAAAGTCGGGGAAACACCCTAGAGGGATCTCGAAGCCATCGGTGGCTAACGGGATCAACTCCGGGAATAGAAAGATTGCGTCCATCTACAGACAGGGATAAAGCCCTTTGCCACTTGGCTCTGGATTCCTTAAGAGAGTCATAGTTACTCCCGCCGTTTACCCGTGCTTCATTGAATTTCTTCACTTTGACATTCAGAGCACTGGGCAGAAATCACATCGTATCAACATCCGCCGCGGGCCTTCGCGATGCTTTGTTTTAATTAAACATTTGGATTCCCCTGGTCCGTGCCAGTTCTAGGTTAGCTGCTAGGTGCCGTCTGAGGTAGGACAATGGGCCGCCGCTGGCCCCACAAGGGGGAGGGACGGCCACCACCCACCGCAGCTGGGGCAATCCACGGGAAGGGCCCAGGTTGCCTCTGGAATCGCTGCCGCACCCCCTGACCCCACCCGGCCCCCTGGAGGGGGTGGGGGGCGGGGAAGCGCAGGCGCCTCTCTTAGCCACGGCGTGCACCCAGCCCTGCTTTGCACCCCAGCCTGACCGGCCTAGCCCGACCGGCCTAGCCTTCAGAGCCAATCCTTATCCCAAAGTTACAGATCCGGCTTGCTGACTTCCCTTACCTACATTGTTCTAACATGCCAGAAGCTGTTCACCTTGGAGACCTGCTGCAGATATGGGTACAGGATGGCACTATGGGCTGCTACTCCTGCCATGATTCAACACCTTCCTGTCATCGTCTTGAACTGAGGTCTCTTTTATGACCCCCCTGGATGTGGACTCTGTGCCTTGGGCTTGAGCTGTAGGGACATTATGGACCTTTGCCTGCTTACAATAAACAGCTCACTCACCCCTGGATTTTCAAGGGCCAGCAAGAGATCACCAGATACCACCAGAACTGTGATGCTTTCCAAGGCATGGGCCCCTCTCTCGGGGCAAACCCATTCCAGGGCGCCCTGCTCTTCACAAAGAAAAGAGCTCTCTCCCCGGGGTTCCCGCCGGCTTCTCCAGGATCGGTTGTGTTACCGCACTGGACGCCTCATGCCGCCCGTCTCTGCCACTCTGGGTTCGGGGATCTGAACCCTACTTTCTTTTGATTGGCCGAGGGTGATGGAGGCCATTGGCTGTCCCTTTGGAATGGCACTTGCCTGTCTCTCAGGTCTGACTGACCCATGTTCAACTGCTGTTCACATGGAACCCTTCTCCACTTCGGCCTTCAAAGTTCTCGTTTGAATATTTGCTACTACCACCAAGATCTGCGCCTATGGCAGCTCTACCCAGGCCCACACCCTAGGCTTCAAGGCCCACTGCAGCGGGCCTCCTAATTGTTGCGGCCTAGCTCCCAAGGCACACTTGCAAAGTTGTTCTTAGCATCTGCTCTCAGGGAGCATCCACCCAGTACACAGCTGAGGTATTTTACTTTACTCCTCTACATTGGCTATGCTGCAATCTTGTTTCTTGTTAAGTCTTCCCAGTGTATGGAATTCTGCCTTCTCTTGTTGGATCTTTATCACATGCCTCTGCTTAGGACTGGGTGGTTGAGCTTTAGGGCCTGAGAGGCTGTCAGTGAGTGCGGGCAGGGAGTCCTGGGGGCTTGGTGGATCTGCCAGGGTGGAGCTGGAATCACTACTAGATGTCCCTGGCTCTACTTCCTCCTTCCTCCTCCATGTCATCAGTGGACATGTCCACCAGGTCCATAACAGTTTGTATATTTGTTTTTGTGCAACTATAGCCCAATGGAAGTCTATAATTTCTGGGTGCAGCTGTATAG